CGATGACCGGACAATCTAGAAAGTGGATGGTCCTGGTGGCGACCATCTGGATTCAGGCCTTCACCGGTACAAACTTCGACTTCTCCGACTACTCCTCTTCCCTCAAATCCCTTCTCAAAATCTCTCAGATCAAACTCAACTACCTGGCCACGGCCAACGACATGGGCAAGGTCTTCGGCTGGTCCTCCGGCCTCGCCCTCTCTCGTCTCCCGCTCTCCGTCGTCATCTTCATCGCCTCCGCCATGGGACTCCTCGGCTACGGCCTACAGTGGCTCGCCATCAAAAATCTCATCGCCTTGCCTTATTACCTGGTTTTCTCTTTTTCCCTCACCTTCATGCATACAACAAATATGTTTCCATTTTCTTTCTTTTCATCAACATCATATGACCGACCTAATGTCTATACATTATTTTGCCTTATTCCAAGGTTTTCATGGACTTCCCACTAAACAAAAAACGAATTTTTTTCCCCAATTGGAATAAACAAAATTTACTTCTATCTATTATTCAAAATATTTACAAAGGATAATATACTTTAATAATATTTTTTTACAACATTTTAACATTTATTCTCTGTATGATTCTATAATTAGTTTAAAATTATCCTACGATCAATAATAATAAAAAAAGTTGTGAAAATATCATTATCCATTTAGATAAAGCTATTTATTCATTAGGGTCAGACTTCGACTTTTAAATAATCCAACTTTCGTTTCTAACTTGATTTTAGTTTTTCTTTTCAAACTAAAGCCGTGAGAATTTTTTAAAATTATTTATTTAATAATAATTGTATATAAACTATTAAACTAAATTGACCAATATTAATTAAATGATTAATATGTTTTTTATTATTAATGAATTTATTATGGACTTCGTATTTGTTATTTATTGGTTTCTTAATATGAATTGATGCTTATTATTTTAATAAATAATATTTACGTTTTTAATATTTATTTTAAATTTATTTCAATGTTGAGAGATAATGGTTGTCATATTCAAAAGGTTTTCATAGATATTTACAGCATCAAATTAAACCATCAATTCAAATTATAACTTAAATTTCCAATTTTTATTTTCAACTAAACTTTTTTATTACAACTTAAAATATTATATTTTTCAAAATTACTGTAGTGCTTAAAAGTAATAATTGTAACATGTCATCTTATTAAAAACACATCACAACTTAATTTAATATATAATTGCTTATATTACATAATTAAATTAATAATATTTAATTCATTAAAATATTTTGTAAACATTCTTTATTATTTTACTTCTATGAAATATTTTACAAATATCATTAGACCCAAACTAAATCTATTTGTTGGATTTTTAAAACATTTATTACACTTAAAAAATATATATCCTACCTCAATTAATTACTAGATACAAGATATTACAATAAATTTAATCTCTTAAATATGTATATGTTAAATAATTAAGTTAATAAATAGATTTAATTATAAATACAATGCAGTTATTAAGTAATTTGATATTTTTTTTAATTATAAACAGAATGTCAATATTAATTTCTTTTTAAAATTTACTTACATTATTGTAAAAATAAATTTCAAATACTATTAATATTGCAAACTATTAACTATTTTAAGTATTCTAATTTTAACTTTTAAAATTTCTCAAACCTCATTTTCAAAAAAAATAAAGTAAGAATTCAGTTTTTAAAAATGAAGAATTTGGTTATAAATATGCTATCTATAATCTTTTGGCAACAGTGTTACCTGAGAAAAACAAAATTAAAGAAAAAAAATACTATTTTGAAAATGTATTTTATAGCAGTCAAAAAACAAGTAACGATCTTTGAATTCTTGGCATGGAGAGAATTAGAGTTATGGCCTTGACTGACAAGTAGCATTTTGTTATGGATGATGGCCTTGTGGTGCTCACCTTCCTTACGTCCATACACTTCATTAACTCTTCTGGGGTCCCTTCTCATGCCACCAAACCTTCGCTTTTCTATCTTCTACCCTTTTTTTTCTCTATTTTCACACATCACAATAAATTGTGTTCAAATCCTATGTTGTCTTTTACTAATTAACGCTAACTATTATCATCAATGACCGATTTTAATGAATAGTAACTTACATAAAAATTAATGAAACTTGTTGAAGGGTACCAGGAATCTGCTGGGACGATTTTTATCACTACAGTACAAAACACTCATTTCCCAAGGAAACGTCTAATAGAGATTGTAGTTTTGGCAAGTTTGAAAGGTTCGTCATAGTTTTGAATGGACTTCACAAAGAACAACTTTGAACGGACCACATATTTCTTTCTGAAAAGGACAGAAGCTATCACAGTTGTCTCCATGAATCTTTTATATTATCGTTGTTATGTTTAGTTGTGTTTTGTGGTCGTCTTTTCCAAACACGTCCTTTCATTTCACAACTTCTCAACTGTAACTCCGTCCGTTCTGCTGGTCCCAATGGCCAAAACTTTAAATCATACCCGTTTGACGTGGTTCTTTTCTGGACGCCACTTCGTCTGCATGTACCACACACCAGAAAATATTACAAAAATGATGCTTTTACAATCTCTTTCTCCTCTACAATGATAACGATTTTGCATTACTTATGATAATAACACTATTTATTCGTATCTATATTGTTATACTACTAAAATAAGATTATCAAATACTAAGATAAAGGGCGTGAAAATATGACAGTGGAACATATATACCTGCACAAGAAATTACTCACATAAACGAGAAATGAAAACAACTTTGGAAATTTTCTTTAACCAAACTATTGTTGATCAATTACAAAGGAACATTAAACCTCACGAAATTGTAAAGTTGTGATGTTACTATACAGAGAGTTGCTTGTATTGATATTTGGTCAGGTTAATTAGCTATTTGCTTTGTGTGTGGCAGTTCTTTCTTCTGAGTTTGTTGAGTGGCTGTAGCATCTGTTGGTTCAACACAGTGTGCTTTGTTCTCTGCATTAGGAATTTTCCAGTGAACAGACCCCTTGCATTGTCTCTCACAGTGAGTTTCAATGGCGTGAGTGCTGCACTCTACACACTTGCTGCCAATTCAATAGACCCTTCATCTGATTCACTCTACCTTCTCTTGAACGCCGTTGTGCCTCTTCTCACTTCCCTTGCAGCACTAATCCCAATTCTTCTCCAACCTCCTTTAGACTCCCTATCTAGATCTGCAGATGCTGCTCGCAGAAACTCAGTGATATTTCTAGTACTAAACTTTCTTGCCATTTTCACTGGCATTTACCTCCTCCTCTTTGCGTCATCAACTTCTGACGAAGCCACATCGAGGATCTACTTTGGTGGGGCCATTTTTCTCCTCGTATCCCCACTATGCATCCCTGGCACCATCTATGCTCGAGATTGGTTTCACAATGCCATCCATTCCAGCTTTCAGGTGGAAGGCTCTGGCTTCATTCTTGTTCATGTTGATGATCTTGAGCTTCATAAAGAACTCCTCACCCGTCAGAACAGTGCTCTCAATCTCAGCAATGGAGATGATCACGGCCTGTTGGGTGAGAATGGATCCGTGCATGGAGGTCAGAGGGCAAAAACCAGTGACGTGGGCTGTGACAAGGTGCTTGGTCAAGATCAGTTGACAATGCTAGGAGAAGAGCACACCGCTGCAGAGGTAGTCCAGAGGGTGGATTTCTGGCTCTATTATATTGCATACTTCTGTGGTGGCACAATTGGTCTTGTCTACAGCAACAATCTGGGACAGATAGCTCAATCTTTAGGCCTGAGTTCAAGTATATCTACCCTTGTCACGCTATACTCATCATTTTCTTTCTTTGGTCGATTGCTTTCAGCTGTACCAGACTACATTCGAAAGTAAGTGTTTTCTCACCATTATCTATATCATGTTTTGGGTGAACTATTTCTCTGAATACATACTTTGTTAGCATTCTCTTTATTAAGTAGTGAATATTTTTATGTAATATAAATTTGTAGCAGTTATGATGATAGTATTTTTTCCAAAATGCAGCAAATTCTACTTTGCAAGAACCGGATGGCTAGCAATTGGGCTTTTCCCAACCCCAGTTGCATTTATATTGCTTGCTGTATCAGACAGTGAAGCTGCACTTAAAGTTAGCACTGCACTGATTGGTCTGAGTTCCGGTTTCATCTTCGCAGCAGCAGTGGCAGTTACATCGGAACTATTTGGACCCAACAGTGTGAGTGTCAATCACAACATTCTCATAACGAACATTCCAATTGGGTCTCTTCTGTATGGTTTTCTGGCTGCAGCGATCTACGATGCCAATGCTTACTCAGTCACAACAGGTGACTTTATGGGTGACACACTGGTGTGCATGGGAAGGAAGTGCTACTTCTGGACATTTGTGTGGTGGGGAGGAATATCTGTACTAGGACTAGCTTCTAGTGTGCTGTTGTTCTTGAGAACCAAACACGCCTATGATCATTTTGAGAGACATCGTTCGAGGATTTCGGCGCAGTCACTTGTGTCTTAGCATATTACACCGGTGAAAGGTGGAAATCATAGAATTGTTGATGGCAAATCCTATGGTGCCCTCTTGGTTAAAGGGTTTTTTTGAACTGTGATTCAGACCAATTCAGTCACAGTGAGTAACTTCATTTAGATGACTCAACCTCGTGGTGATTGTGCTTTGGAAGTTCATAGTATCCTTGGGGGCATAATTATGTTCTTGCATAGTTCCTCTGATACGCCAACTACTAATGATTGAAGGTTTGAAACAAAGACAGACTCTTCAAACCAGACAAGTACCTGCGACTTTTCCTTCTGACTTGATTATCAGAAAGTATATATAGCTCCCTTTTTAAGCCTACTGTAATATCGTGTACAGGTAGGTAAAAAGTTCACTGTAACATTATAATCATATATAGAATATGGTCTTCCAAACCACAACGCGGATGAAGTGATACAGGAAATTTTAATCACCAAAACAATATCTCAAATTGACAAATATTAAATTTTTTTGTTACTGAGAAGGCAATGATGGAAAGAAAAAGATTACACCTCAATGATAGTTGCAAAATTTATCTTCTTTTATGCACAGGAATAGTCTCTCATAGGCCAACGCCATCTTTGTTGCTGTAAACATAGAAATTGCATATTCACGGCATGCCTTTCCCCTCCTTGCAAGCCTTGCCTTTCCTTCCTTCACCACTGCTTCAAGTGCCTCCATGAGGGATTCCACGTTGGGAGAGAACATAAAGCCAAATTCATCATCCACCACAACACTACCTTTGATGCTTGGAAATCTTGATGCCAAAAGGGGTTTCCCACTCATCATGGCTTCCATCAGAGTAAGATCAAGGCCTTGTGGCCTAAGTGTAGGATTGACAAAAATGTCAATGGCATTGTAGAATGCTCGTAGCATGGAAAGACTCAGGGATCCAAGAACAAGAACTTGATTTCCTAAATCCCTATATCGATTCTCCCATGGTCCTGAGCCAGCTACAATCAAATACACATTAGGATGTTTTGTTATTAGCCTAGAGTATGCTTCATGAAGGAGAGGGTGGCCTTTGTCCCTAACTAATCTTCCAGCGACACCAAGCACTAATCTAGCATTGCTTGGAATGCCAATTTTGGTTCTAAATTCGTTTCCCAATTCCACATCTTCTCTGAAGTCACCCTCATCAACTCCATTGAGAATCACATGCACTCTTCTGCTGGGGATTTGGTACACATCTCTTAACATTTCACCACAACTATCACTTATAGCAACATGGTGTGCATAGTTTCTGAAGAACCTTATCTCATTTAGAATCTTAGGGAGAACCCCGTATAAGCCTTTGTCAAAATCCGGGGATTTAGGTTCATCAGTTCTACGAGCTAAGTCTTGGAAAAGGCTAGATTGCAAACTCTCAAGTGCTATGCCATGCCACGAAACTGCAAGGTTTGGAAGGTCGCGAGCGAGCCAGTGAGGAAGTGCTACACTTTCTGAGTGAACAACATCGAAGGGTTCTTTCTGGTTTTGTTCCAGAAACTGTTCCCATGCTTTATTGTAGCGCCACTTGCCTGGCTCCCCTTCATGGCAATGGATGAAGGGTGAAGAAGGAGCATTAACATCTTCTTGGTGATTTGTTGTGGCTGAACAAAAGGTCGAAGTGGTTTCTTCTTGTGGAGGAGAGGTGAATATATGAACCTTGTGGCCCCGCTGAGCTAGAGCAGTGTGAAGAGTGTATGCATGGCGCTCCATGCCACCAGGAGTGGTTCCAATAGGCCATTTTCTAGAGAAGACAGCGATTTTGAGAGCTACGGGTGAAGGGTTCTGTTCCAGAAATGGGAGTTTGTTCCATGCAAATTCGGCTAAAAGAAGATCACCTGACCAGGTTTTGGATAGGGTGGTGCATGTGATGGGTGTGTGGAGGAGGAAAAATGTTGGTACGGTGAAGAGAACAAGAAAGAAAAGGGTGACACAGAAAGTAAAATTAGAAGGGGAACTGGACTTCTTGGATTTGTTGTTGAAGGCCATTTGTTAAAGGAATTCTGAAAATTTGGACATAGATTTTGTTTTTATGTTTTGAATACTGTGGTCTATGAGGTGGAAGGTGGGAACTATCTATGGGGTGGGGGAGGTAGGCATGCAATAAACCTTTTAGTTAGATTTTACTTTAATTGCATTTCTCACGCCCCTTTAGAGGGAAAAAAGGGGATTCATGTGGCCGAGGTTTCGTAGGTTTCCGAATCAGGAACCTTATTTAACATCCACACTCATGCCAGAATGGACTTGAGAGAAATTTAGAGTCATTATTAACATGCTGAATTCCTGGTTAAGTTTTATCTTATGTAGAAAGAAGGAAACCACAACTTGTGATTAATTATAAATTTACAACGTGTTCTTATTGTAATTTAGAACTTTTCATGTTCTGATGCCAAACAAACTGAAGCAGAGTAGCTAGCTTAAGAAATTCACACATTATTTTTTCTACATCACTTGAATAGCATATCCTAGTAAAAAAGTGGGGTGGATCCTGTGTCATAGAAGTTGTTACACGCTTATAATTATCATGATCATTTTAACTTTCTATCATTATCACTCTATCAACTCTGTAAAGAAGCCTATTTTTATATTAGATTTGTGACATGTGCTTCCTGGAGAGCCGCTGAGCCTGATGGGGTTATTGCAATTTGCGTACATAATTTGGTCCCTTCTCTCCAATTTTGGAATATATTAATGCTAGTCAAATCTGTGACGTAATTGTAGGATTTATCCAGTCCTAAAACATTTGAAAATTTACTCGTCTTTCTGGCTTGGTGATTCTTCTTCTCAAGCATTGCATATAACATTGAGTATATAACATTTACATGCTCTTGGAATCTCCCTTGATCTGTAAATCACATGGAAAAGCTTTGACTTGAAGAAATTAGTTATGTTGTCTGTTGATTTAAAAAGCTAGCTGATATTCATTGTGATGGGCGAGAAGAAATCTGAACTGTCAAAGGAAGATTTCAATCTACACTCAATATATATTGCATTTATGTTTTATACATTTAATTACATATATATAGGGTGGCTTGATAATTACTCTTACACCACATGATACTTCATTAAAAAGAAATCTTCTAAAAGGTAGCAATCAAGTTTTTTTGCTCAGAACTGGTGATGGTTGCTTGTGGTTTGCACCGGCTCTAGTGTTGACATTCGTCTTATTGTTGGAGACTTTATTCCTAGTAGATTTTTGTGACACTGGCCAGTGTCCGCTGGTAACAGCCATGTCCTTGTACTGTTGTAAGCCTTCAAGAGTTTCAACAATCATTGGCATTCTTGGTCTGTCTTTAGGATTCAAACTTATGCATTGCAATGCCAAACGGGCAATTTCCTTTGCACCCTTCACAGAATATTGGCCTGCAAGCCTTGGATCGACAATGTACCTCAACCTCCTACTGCTACTCAAGTAAGGTTTTGACCAATCCACAAGGTTTTGCTCAGTCTTTGGTCTTGTTTTGTCCGTTGCTCTTCTTCCTGTCAGCAGTTCTAGCAGGACTACCCCAAAGCTGTAGACATCACTTTTGGTTGTTAAATGCCCTGTAAATAATCATATGTTACATTAAAATCTGCAAAACATACCAAATTTGATAATAAACTATTACATGGTTGGTTCCACATAGTTTGACCAATCTCCACATGAAACTTAGTTCTCATCAACAAAAAGTAAATGTCAAACTATGTAAAGAATTGTTGGAGATTCTACATCGATTAGAGGTAAACAATATAAAAGTGTATGCAAACCTCATCTTAAAACTAATTTTCTTAAAAATAATGAACATGTAATAGGACTGATTTATCCCACAGATTTTTAAGTGCCAAACATTTTCAATTTTCCAAAAAGAATTATCAACATGCCATGTGGAGATTGGTCATGATTGTAAATCATATAATAATTTATCCCCAATTGAAAGCAGTTATTAGTTGAATTCCTTTTTTTTCCTCCTTATGGAAGTAATAAGCATGCCAGAAAATAGGTACAGATTAGATTTATTAGTCCTACCTGTTGAGATGTATTCTGGTGCTGCATATCCATAAGTGCCCATTACTCTGGTTGAAACATGAGTGTTGGATCCCTCTGGCCCCATTTTAGCAAGTCCAAAATCTGACAATTTTGCTGTGAACTCCTATTTTAAACAGAAGCAGATGATGCATAAAAACTCATTGGATTTAGTTTGTTGTGTTATTTTACAGTTTTAATCAATAACAAAGAGAATGATCGGTAGTTGATCACGTACTGAATCAAGCAAAACATTGGAAGTCTTGAAGTCTCTATAAATGACTGGCTTCTCAGCTCCATGCAAGAAGGAAAGGCCTTTAGCAGCTCCTATTGCAATTTTTAATCTTGTCCCCCATGGAATTGATGTTAGCCCTGCAATTACATGCACTGAGTAACTGAGTAACTCATTGTTTGTTTAATGTTTTCAGAAACAAATTTCTACTTTCTCAAATTTCTTTGTTACCTCAACACTATTGCAAGTATTGTGTCATATGAAATGAACACATTTCTGTTTTCTAAGAATTTGTCTCTTCGGCATAAGAACAGAGAGGACTTGAAGAGATTAAAAAACATCTCCCAGTTGTTTCTGTAGTTTTGTTTTTTAAATACTTGCATTGGAAACAATTTTCATAATTTAACAGAATTTGGATGATAAATTGTTTGCCAAGTAAACTGTTTTAGAACACAGAAAATAGTAACAAGTGAAAATCAAACAAGTTAAAAATGTACAAGGATTTTGATGCATACTTCTGAAGAGGTGATTCTCCAAACTTCCTCGTGGCATGAATTCATAGACAAGTAATCGTTCTTCATCTTCACAACAATACCCAATCAACTTAACCAAATTGGGGTGTCTTAGCTGCCCAAGAAAAATCACTTCTGCCTGCAATCCAATGCAATTATTCATTTATACGTGGTTCATTCCCCAAATTTCAATATAAAAATAAGTACAAAACAGTTCATTTCTTTTCACTATTGATGGAAATTTGATAAATTAAAAATAAAAACAAAGAACATAATAAAATTGTCCCATGCATTTATGACATCTAATAGGATCATCCTTGTTTCTTTACTCTAGTTTCTCTCAGATATAATAAATAAAGGTCATTGCAGACTATTATACATTAAAGTATATATACTAATTTATTTAACTTTTCTTGTACTATAAGCGATTGACTTGCATCCATCCTTCAAGAATCAAAATAATAAAATATGAACACAAAAATGATATAATAATAGTGCAGGACAATGCTAAAGTCTTGTAAGCTAGTATAAAATTCCCTGACTTTTCTCTTTGGATGCCCAATCAAATGAGTTGATGATGGGTTTAGTCAACTCCCACTAGTTGCATCACACTCATTCCTAAAAATAAATAGCCAAGATTCTGATTCCAACAACTACACCACCAAAATTAAACGACCCTGATAATGACTAGTAAATTTAATTACATGAATATATTAAAGGTTTCTTTTTTCCTCAAGCGAGTTAATATTCAAATTGAATCTGGTGAAAGAAAAGATGAAACACCACTAAAAAATAAACTTGTAATTGAAGAATGGTGTTTAAGATAATTATATAATAGTGGTGGGTTAAATATGATTTAGTAATGAAATTTATTAATTCATTTTTAGAATAGGTTAAGGATAGTAATGAATTAAGTTTAAGAGAGAAAAGAATTCCTATAAAAACATAATATAATAGATAATGAAGAATAAATGTGATACTCACCAGCCATTCACGGTGTCCTTGCAAGCCTTCAATGTCAAGAAGCTTGACAGCAACAGGTTGTGCCTTCAAACCAAGCCTGAGATTATCATCTACGTAGCCCTTATGCACAGTTCCAAACCCTCCTTCTCCCAGCAAGAAGTTGCTGCTGAAATTCTGAGTTATGGCACGCAGCTCACTCAGCTGAAAATCAAACAAATCCGACCCAAAAGACTGTGCAAGATCCTCATTGATTCGCACAGACGAGGAACGACTGAGATCAGAGAAGGAGAGCCTCCTGAACGATGGCAAAGGAGCAATGTTCTTTGACAAGTCAGAACGTGAAGGCTTGCACCTGCTGAAGTTCTTGAACACGGTTTGGTCCTCTGTGGAGCAGCAATTTGCAGTGAAGGGTCTCCATGCCTTTGATGGTTCCTTCATTTCCTAAGTTAAGGTCTTGTGAGAAAGAATTCTGATGTTCTGCAAAATATAAGTACCAAGAATATTGTACAATATATGGTAAAGTTTTCCTACATTTGATGGAGACTTAGGAAAATATATTCTTTCTTCAACTGCTCTAACCACTCTAGTAATTTTTGCAGACATTATTATTTGTTTCCATATGTTTGTTTACTTATGTGTAAGTTGTTTTGTTCTCTAATTTGTCATCTATGTCGTGTCTTCATGCACAATACACCAATGTCTTTTTGTACGTAGTATTACTATATAGGTCCACGCCACACACCTTCCTTTTCCTTTCCTTAATTGTTTCGAGTAATGTAAAAAGTATATATATATATATATATATATATATATATATATATTTTGGTAAGACATATATATATATATATATATATATATATATATATATATATATATTTTGGTAAGACCATTTAAATACTTTTTTCTTTTTTATACTCTTTGAAATGTTTTTTTAAAACAAGATCGTGAGGAAGTTTTAAAATTTTTAAACAGACAAAACCTCAAATGTACGGGATTAATTTTAACTATAATTGTCGATAAAATCTAAAACATATATAATATATTGGATATATGGTAATTAATTACAATAGTCACTAGTTACTATAATCATAGCTAGGTGGCATAAGGATTCATTTAATTATGGTGTATAATAATTCAGATAATAGAAGCTTATCTGTTCCATGAGGAGAACATATTAAGTTTGATGCATAATTTATGTTAACAGGTGTGATTAAGAAAAGTTAATGAATGTAATTGAATAGAGTATATAATGATTTGGTAACCTAAGTAACGTATAAATGAGAACAGTGTGACGAAGGGAATGACATCAATTTGTGTCTTCATTCAGAAATACAAGAATTAATGTGAAGAGGAGCAGTTGCATGTTGAAGTGCTGGATAAGGTATTCGACAAGCTGGTCCAAAAAGTCAATATTATAGTAAACAGAAAACTAGGTAGTGAATGAGGTATACACATAAGTATATATGCTACGTACTCATCACCACCAATTTCAACTACCAGATAAAAAGTTAAATCATTCATCAGTCCGATGTCAATTTTGTAAAACTTTGAAAACTTGGTCATATCATTTGAATCACTTTCAATGTTGCTTTGTGTTTATACCCTTGAAAAAAACTTAAATCAACTTTTTAATCTTATAGTTTTATGATGGTGTTATTTTACTCTCTAAACAAACCCACATTTGAAAATTATTGGAATTTTAATTCTTTTAATAGTTTATAGTCCATTTTCTAAAAAAAATGTATTTATTTACATCTAATTGATGACATGAGACTTAGTGACAAATTATAAGTTAGAACGATGAATAGGTTATGTTGTCACTCACAATGCATTAACGTGTCAATAAGAACTAAAATTACATTCATCATGATATTTTAAAGATTAAATTTGAACAATTGCAGATTTAAAGGTCAAAATAAAAATTACATACTTAATTTTTTGTCCATTTTATTATTATCAAAATTAAATTTTCAAAAAATCAAATTCAAATTCAAATTCACAAATAAATAAATAAAATTTTAAAAATTTTAAAAAACAAGAAAAGAAAAAACACATGAAGAAAAAGGAATCTTACTTTTTAAATGTCATAACACTCAATTTTATCTGGATAAATCAAAATATTAAAGATAAAGTTTATTATGCCAAGTTGGTAATAGTTTATCAGAGAGGTTCTCCCTACATCTCACTCACTTTACCTTGCACTTTCCTTCTTTTTTTATTTACAATTGTACCCTTGTCAGAAAAAATCTTTTTCTTTCAAAAAAGCTGACCCATTCAATGATAAAAGAAGCATCAACCCTCCTCTGCCTTACGCATTTCAGAATCCTAAACCTACACTCCTTTCTCCTCCCTTCCTCCTCCTTGTCTCCTTGCCGCAATTTATATCAAGCTTACATTTTTTTTTCCTCTGTACTGGTTGTCGTCCCCTCTTCCCTCATCACCAACTTCATTTGTTTTTATTTTCTTCTGGTGGAGTGGTCCTCACTTCCTCCCATACTATTTGATTTGGTGGTTGTGTGGTGTTTAGTGCAACAGTGTAAATCTTCTTCTCCTCAGACAGTTCACTTTAAGTTTTAGGCGTCTAGGTTGGATTTTTTTTTCAGATTTCCTTAAGGTCATTGTATGATATAACAGAGTATATGATGCCTTGAGTTTGATAAAATGCTAGATCTATTGTTATTATAGAATATGTCTTTGATATGCGTTGATCTGTGCTTGTTTCGTTTTTTATCTCTTTGTTTCGTTTTTGATCTGCGTTAATCTAGGATAATGGAAAAAATTGGGACCTTAACCGCGCTTGGAATTGCAGATCAGGCCCCGCCACACATGGAAGTGTGGCTGCCACACATGAAACTGCGGCTGGGAGGGATGGGAACTGCACTTGGAGCTGCGGTTGATGGGCCACCGCAGTTGGACCTGCGGTTAGTGTTCGACTCTTTTGCATGCAGTCGTACTTGGAAGTGCGGATGAGCGGTTGCGTTTTTAGAGTTTCTTTTATTACTTTATTTTTCTTTATTATATTTAATTAAATTTGTTTTAAATTTATAAATTGTATTTCTTTATATTATTTATTATTTTGTATTTTTGATATTTATTTATAGTATTAAATTTATTTAAAAAATATATGTATGAAATATTATGTTAGTATATTTAATTTATTTTGGTTAATATTTTATATAATTTTTTGTTAATATTTTATATTTATATATTCTGTAAATTTTATTTATATCTTATATTTTATGGTTAAATAATATTTAGGTTTAATCCTTTTCGACATCCCTATTTATGTACGAATGTCTCAATTGGGTCCTCGTTTTTTAAAGTGTATCAAAATGGTCCTTAATTTTGAAAATTAATATCAATTGAGTCATTTCCGTTAAGTTGGCTGGACGGCGTTAAAAAAATTGATGAGTGGATGCTGAGATGACGAACGAACGCTCGTCCACCAGCGAACGAACGCTCGTCCAGCAGCGAACGAACGCTCGTCCACCAGAGAACGAACGCTCGTCGACCTCTTACTGTTGGACGACCGTTCGTTCCACACTGGACGACCGTTCGTTCAGTGGTCGACGAGCGTTCGTTCGCTGATGGACGAGCGTTCGTTCGCTGGTGGACGAGCGTTCGTTCGTCATCTCAGCATCCACTCATCAATTTTTTTAACGCCGTCCAGCCAACTTAACGGAAAGGACTCAATTGATATCAATTTTCAAAATTAAGGACCATTTTGATACACTTTAAAAAACGAGGACCCAATTGAGACATTCGTACATAAATAGGGATGTNTCTGGTTTCTTTAGCTTCAAGTTATGAATCATTGGTATTGTAGAAGGAACTGTTGAAGAAAATATGCCTGTTGACTTTGTCCACAAAGGACTGTGTTGGACTTTTCAAGAGAAAAATCTATATGCATGAAGAATTGAAATTAGACTTTTATACATAATTATTGGTGAAATTAAGAAAGGTTAAAAGAGATACTATCTTAATTTCTCTCCTTTTGAAATCCACTTTTTCTAGCTAGTATTGTGATTTTATAGTTAGTCTACGATAAATTTTTAAAATAAATTAAAATTTGCCAGCAATTTTATTCAAATTAAATTGGCTAAATTTTTTTTATAAATTTTAGCGTGGACAAAAATAATTTATTCTAATATAAATTCGGTTTATTTAAATTGAATTCATGGTGAACTGTTGTTCGTTAGTTTATTTATAAATTCTAAATATTAAATTATATTAAAATATAAAAATGTTAAATATTTTTTATGTTTAAATGTATTTGGATTGTATTATATTTTTGTGATTTTAGATTATATTTAAAGTTTAATACATTTTTATTAAATTTTAATTAAAAAAATTATAATTCTTATTTTGGGATTGAAAAAAAAAACTGTATTTATAAGCTCTAAGTCTATGATATTAATGATTCAAATGTATATATTAATTGTATTTTAACATCAAAAGTATAAATTGACTTTTGTTTATTTTTAATTTTCTTTTTCTTTATAATTATTAAAACGAGACATTTTAAAATTTAAATAATGGTTATAAATAAAATAAAGAAAAAATAGCAAAAAAAAGAAAGGAGACACATAATATTTTAGTTAACACTCAATTTTGTTTGGAAAATATAAAAAAATGAAAAGAAAGAACATTATGAAGATGTAAACTTCTCCTTGTGTTATGATATGTCAGACACATCATACCTATTAACTATATTCCACGTCATGAAAAAAAAAGTGCAACACATTGCTGTGACAAATCTACGACCAATTTTGTTTGGATAATGATTAAAAAGAAAGAAAATCCAACACAGAAAAAGAAAAGTACAAAAGCAAAAGATAAACTAGAGCAATGTTCCCTCCCCTCACCTATTTCTCCTCAGATTTTATACATTTATCCTTCATTTATTAAATTCAAATGAAAATTAATGATGAGTTAATAATTTTGTAACCACCAACAACCCTCCTAACCACCAACAACCTTAAATGTCAATTGATTGTATAAATCCTAAATCTCATCTGTTATCCTACATGCATCCTCTCCCCTCTTCTTATTTTTTGACTTTCATTATTCACTTCTTCACTTGTACTGTTAAATTGTTTTCTAAGTTCAGAATTGTAAGATTATACAGTAGTGGTTGTACCCGTGCTGGTGGTGCTATAAGAGGAAGAAGGCAGTGCTGGTGGTGCTATGGACGGAGGAGGAAGAAGGCAACGAGAGCTCACGGGGTTAGTATATTATTGAAGTAAACACCTTAATCGTCGTTGGAGATGCGGTTAAGTGTGGCACAGTTCGAACGCCGGTTACACAACGCCGAAATTCAAATTTCAGCTCACCTCAACCGCACTTCGAACTGCAGTTTAGGGGTGCTGCACTTCCAAGTGCGGTTTCATTGTGTGGACTTTTTTTTTTACCCAGGCCTACAATTTCACAGGCTTGCTTATGATCATTTGATGTTTATTTGCACATTACATTCTGAAT